CAAAACAACACCAAACCATCACCAGGGACAGGAAGATTTTCAGACTTAACCCCAACGTGTCTGCTCATTCCTAGGTGAACCTAAACTGTTCAGACCCAGGAGACCAAGGTCCAGCAGTGATGCTCTCTCTGCTTCCTTCAACGGGGAGCTCCTGGGAAACATCCGCTGCAATTCTTACGACAACCTTCCCCACGAGGACAGCGACGGGGACGAGGGGCTGATCCACGTTCCTGCCCTGATTTCTCCTCGATCTGCTGAGGACGTCGACCTGAGCCCGCCGGATATCGGTGTCGCTAGCCTGGATTTTGACCCCATGTCCTTTCAGTGCAGCCCACCCCAAGCAGAGTCCGAGTGCCTGGATAGCAGCACCTCCCTGCTGGAGTCAGTTGGCATAAATAAGGAGAAGCCAAGCCTACTCAAGAAGGATTTAGAGTCAGGCAGCCAGTCCCAGACACCAGGCAGTGCCACAAGCTCTGAGCCAGTCTCCCCTTTCCAAGAGAAGATGAGTCCCTTCTTTACCCTAGACCTGAGCCCAACTGAGGAGAAGGCCTGCAAACCCCCAACCTTCTCTCCCAAGCTGGGGAGGAAGCCCATCAAATCTCCACCGACTGCAGCAGAACCCGTCTCCTTCGTGCTGCCCAGCCGCATGTCAGAAGGGATTGGAGGAGTGTCCATCACATCCAGAAACTCCTCTGCTTCCAGCTGGAGCAAAGGAACTGGCATCACCGAAATCACAAACAGGTCCCCAACCCAGATGTCCTTGCCCCTGAAAAACAGTGAATCAGAAGCAGGGGAAGGAGCCCACCAAGAGCTGCAGCATGCCCAGCTGCTGGCTGCTGGCAAACCAGAGTTGCCAGAAGAAGGGGAGAGACCAATGTCAAGCAGTCAGAATAAGACTGTACCCACTGGACACACACAGCCAGGTACAGTGCATTTTCCTCCATTCTTTCTTTAAGTTCCAAATGGGACCTGCTCTCAAAAACATCCTCCTCTGCGTGCCTTTTAGGAGAGGGGATTGCCCATCAGTTCTGATCACAAGTGTCTTGCAGGGCTGTGCAGATCAGTAAGGTCTTAACCTCTGCCTTCTCCCTTCATCACACAAATCTTGGATAATTTTCCATAATACTTTGTATACCACTTTTTTTTCCCCATCCTTTCATACTTGAGAATCTCTAGCATGTCCTTCTAAATCATTTCAGCCAATAGACCATCTAAGACTTTTCTTTTTTAAAAAATAAATAAATCTGCCAACACTGGAAGAAGGGACCTTTTCGCCTAGAACCTTATGATCAAAATTGTGTAAGGGTATCTCATTCTCTGCTACCTACTTCCTACCTCTCTAGAAATGCAAGAGGAGCCTTTAAGACAATCTCTTGTGTTTTCTTCCTTTTTTTTGTGGTGAACTGCTGTGCTATTGAGCAGCTTTTGCATGTGAGACAGAAGATAGTGTTTCACATCAGAAGGAGCTGCCACTGTGAAAGTGCGGAGAGCATCTATTTTTTTATAGTAGTCGTTAAGGTTAGGTCACTCACCTTATTGGGTAACGTAAAATCACTCTCTCTCTCAATTTTCCCCCCATTAGGAGCAGTTGCCCTCGACTCCCCCCAGGATCCTGTTCCCGTCAGTTCTGTGTCTCTTATCCCTCCTCCTCCTCCGAAAAACGCGGCGCGCATGCTAGCCCTAGCGTTAGCCGAGTCCGCGCAGCAGGCGTCCGCTCAGGCTCAGAAAAGGCCAGGAGATGCTCCCTCTGAAAGCACAAATTATGGAGAGACGGAAGCTGGCACAGCTCTAGAAAAGCTCCATCTCTCTGCTGGTGCTCCAGACAAGCTCCACCACTATACTGCTCTGCCCGAGAACCGACTTCACTTCCAGCCTGGTGCACCAGTAGAGCAGGATTTCCAAGGTAGCAGCACACCCGGGGAGCAGAACCACCCGCCCGGTGCGCCTGGAAACCGGGACCCCCCACCTCTCCACACTGGCATGCCTGGGGACATGCCTGGTAGCAGAGATGCAGAGCAGGAGCAGTCCAGCTTCCACCCTGGTCAAGCGGGGGACAAAGATCCCTTCCCCTGCCACGCTGGGGACTGGGAGCACACAGCCCAGCACCCTGCAGGTGTGCTGCCTGACTGGGAGCCACCCGCAGCAGACGTGTCGGTAGATAAGCCCCACCTCCGTGCGTGCGTGTCTGGGGACAAGCACCAGGTTCCTACCGGCACGGCCGATGACAAACTCCCGTCTCCTCCTGCCCATCC